CAGTTTGTATCTATTTTGGGTTTTGGCGTTGTTGTGTAGATGATATGTGAATTTTGGAAACCGATCAAAAAGGAAGAATGTTTTTCAGGGGTGGGAGCCAAAGGCTTAATCTGAACACCGTGGTCATGAAGCTTTCATAACAGTTCCACAGACCATGACCAGGGAGGAACCACAGGGTAGAATGTGATGCTCAGTGTGACCCCCTAAGGATGCTGCTCCATGCACAGGAAGTTCATGGTGATTTACTGCAAAGGAGACTTGGTCCACAGCCCTAGAAAATGAATGACGTAAGCTCAAGGTTAAGTGTATCTTAAGGAGGGATGTGGACCATAAACAACAGACCACTCGTCTTTGCTGCTGTTTGCTTTATCCAAAAAGATGGGATCCACTTGTACATCGTGACTCACGGCAGTTAAATGCCCTTTCCCATTCTTACAGCCTCTTTCTTTTCCTCCCTAGTTTTTCAGGACAGGGAAAGCTGTTCTGAAACTCACTCTGTAAACCAGGCTGGCCTCGAACTTAGAGATCCACCTGTCTCTGCCTCCCAAGTGCTGGGATGAAGGGTGTGCACCACCGCCGCCCAGTTTTCTTAAGAGATCGTCAGGAGATTTCTTTTGTTTCAGAACTAAGTGTTGAAATTACATTGTGTGAGCAGCAATTGCGGCAGGATGAAAAAGGAAAGACTCCAAAGGAAAAAAAGGAGAGAAAACTTAATATTTAACCCTTGATTTTAAAAGACAGGGTAAGGCAGGCTCTGGAAAGTGCTCGGTGGTTAAGAGCACTTGCTGCCCTTACTGAGTATGAGTTCAGTTTCTAGCTCTCATCTTGGGTGACTCAAGACTGCTTATAACTCCAACTCCAGGGACTCTGACGCCCTCTTCTGGCCTCTGTGGGAACATATCCACACACAAAGTCACATACAGTCTTAGTTACTTTTCTAATGACCAAGGTAACCATAAAAGAAATCATTTGATTTGAAGCTCACAGTTGAAGACAAGCTTGAGTCCGTAACCATCATGGTAGGGAACATGGCAGCAGGTAGGCATGGATTAATAGCACACATCTCGATTCACAAGCAAAAGGTTGAGAATGGCATGGGCTTTTGAAACTCAAAGCCCAACCCCCAATACTTCCTCCAACAAGGCCACACCTCCTAATCCCCTCTAAACAGTTCCATCAACTGGGGATCAGGCACTCAAATATATGAACCTATATAGAGGCCATTCTCATTCAAACTACCACACATACACATCATTAAAAATGAGGTAAATCTCTTACAAAGAAGTTAAAAATAGGAAGGGGGATTTAGCTTGCAGCATGACACAATGCCCAAGGGACTCTCATCTCAAATCTTCACAGTCACATGTGACTCTTTAGTGACCCCACAATGGCTATAGACTCATTATATTATAGCTTGTCCAAGGGATGCCAGCCAGAAAGCAGGACATAGAGTGTGTGTCTAGGGCTAGGCTCTGCTCACATGGGACCTCTGTGCATTCATTGGGATAGCCGTGTTTACATTCTATGGAGAGTCATAAATAGAGACAATAGGCCCAGTCATATTGGCTAAAGCCACCACCTGTACTTGTATATGGGCTCCCAGCCGACATCAGCAGAACTGACTAGATGGTGATTCTTCCAGATCAAGCAGCGGCAGTGACAAGCATCAGTCTTTTCTTCTAATATCATCTGTCTCCATGACGACTACCTTTGGTCATCTCATCCCCAAGGAAAGTATGCAGTCGGCACTTGCTCCATTCCAGGTACCAGACAGCCACACTCCAAGCCAGAGCAAGCCAGATGAGTTCTCTGGAGACACATGTGCGTCTCTATCGATCCCTGCTCACGTGGAAGAGCATCCCACCCAAGGTCAGAGCGGCTTTTCTGTGTCTAAACCTCCATATGTAATCTCTATAACACCCTTTTGTGGCTCCTCCTCAATCTTAGAGGATGGATTAGTCAGGGTTTCCAATGCTACCTGGGCAGATGCATACATCATGCCTGCATACACACAAAGGCATTGGCATGGACATACAGACATACGCATATGTAAAGATTATAGGAATATGATATCAGGGAATCAGAAGAATTTGTTGCTCAGCTCTGGATTCTGAGAAGTTCCACAACAGGTCACTTGCTACCCGGACAGACAGGCAGTTGGAGCGTGGGTCAGCAAAAGGCTGAAGGCCTAATGAACAGGGAAGAGGAGAAGGTAGCTCTCAGTATGAGGCTGAGGCCTGGGAACCAGGGAGTACCATGGAAGGGGTTGGGGGAAGAGCTATGATTCCTGGATCTAAGGTCAGGAGAAGTGGCGCTTCTGACATCCAAGGTGCTCCATTTCTTTGCTTCTTCATTCAGTCCAAACCCACAAATGGTGAGACGTCACTCTTCATATAGCGCGAGGGTGGAGCTTCCCACATTCATTCGCCCGTTAAAATGCCAATCTCTCACAGACACTCCCAGAATGCTTCGCCGGCTCCCTCAGCCTAGTGAAGTTAAGTGTTTGGAACTGACCACTGTAGAGCGGTCCCTTGCCAAGGGCTCCCTTCCCTTCAGCCACATCTCCCGCTGTGCCCCCTTCATTCCTGTACATCTGTGGCTCACACCTTCTTGTCGCCATGTTCCCTTTAGCATGGAGACTCCATACTCTCTGTCCTCTGTTGGGGATGCTGGTCCCTCCAGTCCCCATCGAGCTAGCTATAACAAATCCAAGATCCCACTTGCCGGCCTTTGAATGTGAAGTGCTGCTCCTTCACCTCAATGAATATAATGTAATTTTACAGGCTGAGGACCAGACTGCCATCTTTGTCTTGTCCCATTCCCATTTTACCTATGTTCCCAATGTGATGCCTAGAGTTAATCGTCAACTGGATAGACTCTACAGTCACCTAGGAGAAGGGCTTCTGGGTATAGCTGTGAGGGATTAGTTGGTGGGTGAAGACCTGCCCACTGTGGCGGGCACCATTCCCTGGCTGTGATCCTAGACTATACAGAGAAGGCAGTTGAGCACTGACACGTATCCATGGCTTTCTCCTGACTGCGAAGGTGACGTGGCCAGGAGCTTCCCGCTCCTGCTGCCCCCACCTCCCACCATGGTGGACTGTACCTCGAACTGCAAGCTAAAATAATTTTTTTCTCTCGTAGTTTGCTTTTTATTACAGTCGCGGGGAAAAACTAAGACACTGGAATCCAGATTTGGGCGTAGAAGCACCTATCGCATAAATGATTGGTGTGATTTCTGTTTCAGAGGAGAGAGAACGAGAGTCTGCATCAGAAAGGTCACACGGCCCCCTTAATTCCTCATTAAGCACTTAGCTGATCTCAAGCTCACGTTCCCATATGGCATGCCCCGGTAGGATGATGCCAGCACCCAGGCCTCCATGCTTCCTACAACCTGAGCCCCGCCCTGATCCAGCACAGCTGCCAGCCCCAGCCAGGGACCCCTGGGACAGTCAAGGCCTCTCCTTCTGTGTTCTCTCCGCTACTGTGTAAAGGCAGCTGTGTCCACAACTGTTCTCCTTATGGAGAATAGGGGAGAATGGGCTTGTTTCTTTTTTGTTTCCTCAAACCCCTCCAGCCTTTCATTTCACCGTCTAAAGGGGAGTCTCTACCTCACAGGGGACCATTAAAGACCTCGTTGCTCCCAGGGTCAGCAGCGGGCAAAACAGCTGCCTTTGTGGGTGCCCTGGACAGAGAAGCAGAGTTCATCCTTGCTCCTGAGGCACCGCCGACGTGATTAATGTGCTGCCATTGTGATAGATGATAAACATAATGGAGCTTGAAGAAAATTAATGGTATTTTGAATCTTTAATAATGGTACATAACTATCTAAAAGAGACATCTCCATCACAATGTGGCTCCTCTCAAAGCCGGTGGCACTTTGCTGACAACGGAGGGGAAACTTTGCGGGGGGGGGGGGGGAAATGTGGGTAAAGGATTAAAGAGAAACATAGCAAATAAAAATGGTTACAGTTGTCAGAATGGAAGGACTATGTGCATGGCTGTTAGCTGAACTTCCATTAAGATTGTCATAGCAGTTTGCGTCCAAGGAATTCTTTTTAAATTGGAATGCAAAATTGAATTTTGTTCTCTTTAAAATGCCTGCGTGTTTTTCATGAGACTGTAAAGATTGGGTTAATTTATGCCCTTTTCCCTACCTCCAGCAACAAAGGAGCCCCTATTTCACCCCACAAGTGTAAGCTACATGCAGGGCCATTGTTATTGAGGTTCTATCCATTTTGGGAAAATGCACACTCACCCCAGGAGGAAGGGTCAGAGGGTAGGAGAAGAGCGGCCCAGGGACAATGGCTCATTGTGGCACCCACAATTGAGCTAAATCTACAACTTTGGGAAAACTCGAAGTAACATGGCTGGGGACACCCCGAGTTAGAGACTGCAGCCGACAGGCATGGAGACAAGTTCAGGGTGAGACTCGGGTGCTTTCTCACATGGCAGCTTTGTAATCTAGAAAGCCGTCCTGACAGGCAGCACACGCCATTGACTCCCTCCTCTTTCTTACATTCTTGAAGATTCTATCTCTAATTAAATGTGATTTAATGAGTAGACATTATCAGTAGACATCCTGTGACTACAGAACACATGGCAAGACCGCATAAGTGTCTCTTACTTCCACGGGTGAGCCTCTTCCCGATGCCTGCCATTCGATTCATGAGCTCTGAAATCTGAGAAGTTACTATGGAGGCTACTGTAGACTCAACCCCAGAGGCTTCCTGGCATGAGTTCCCAAAGTGTTCCCACGTCAGAAGATAATGGTGTCGCTCTCTGATGTGCTAAATAACATCTTGCTTGTACACTGTTGAGTTCCATGAGTAGCTGAGATAACATGATGGCCTCATGATAACAGGCTTTTTCTCTGAAATGGTCCACTGAGTCAAGGCTTTGGAGGCCTGCTCATTCCTGATTTCTTTTCATTTGTGGAAGGTGGATTTTGATATTACTTTACTTTTTATTTTATTTGAGACAGGATCTCATATAGCCCAGGCTGACCTTGAACTCACAGTGTAGCAGGGAATGACTTTGAAGGTCTGAGCTTCCTGCTGCAATTACAGCTTATGCTACCATGTCTGGGTTAATGTGGGGCTGTTGATCAAGCCCAGGACTTAGTGTGTGCTGGACAAACACTCTCCCAACTGAGCCCTTATCTGAGAAATTTTTATGTGACCCTAGTAGACGATTATACAACTCAAATGTTCGCTGGTAATGAATGCATCATAAAGAAAATTTAAATTTGAATAAGTAATTATTTGGTATATACAGAAATGTGCATACTATTGATATGGGTATGTTAATTTTCTGTTTGCATAAATAATTAAATACTGCCTGAATCTTTGATATTAGGATCCCTGAGAATCACCAACACTTTTCAGAGTTTTGATTTTATAAACATTAATGCTGAGAACATAGCTACACAGAACAGTGTGGCAGAAATACATCAGAGCTGTATCAGAAATGGCTAGAAATATTTAATCTCATGTCAAAACTCACTGACTTAGAATCAAACATTCTACCACAATACAGTCCAAAACCACACTATCCTGACGCCTACATGCCGAGGAAAGTCTTTATCTTCCATAACAAAATCATGTTTCTACACAATGCTGCAGTTCACAGCATACGGTAGCCTCACGGGTGGCAGGAGAGCATGCTCAGCACAAAGTCAAGTGGGTGGTGGGTTCAGAAGCAGGCTTTCTGCTAAGTCGCACAGTGGAACCCAGGCAAGTGCAGCTGGGAACCTCTCCGGTTCATTTCACATTTGATTCTAAATTCATTTTGGTCCAGAAACTTCTCAAACTCCGACATTCTATCATTGGAAAGGAGGAGCTCTGGGGGCCAGGAGAATCTTCAGGGCTGTGGTCCATAAGGAGGGGAAAGTACATATGAATAATTAGAGACTGCCATTGAGTTATAAGCAAAGAGAAGGGAGAGTGGGGGTCTGAGAGGATTTTAGAGGAATTTTCATAGCTCCTTCGGAAGCCTCCATCATTATGATGCCAGTAGCTTCTCTTCCCCTTCCTCACCTACTTCAAGCACTATGCATTCCATCCAGCTTTTGTCCAGAAAACTGGGGAACCCGGATGTGACGAGCAACATGCATACCTGATGTATTAGTTACGTTCCTCAATGATGTGGGACAAATGTCTGAAGGAACAACTTGAATGAGGCAGGATGTGTTCTGTCCAACATTTCAGAGGCCATTGTGGTGAGGAGGGCATGATGTGGCTGTGCAGATCACAGTACAGGGGCCGTGAAGCAAAGCAGAGAGGGCAGTGGCAGGAAGAGGCCACAGCGAGACACAGTGCCCAGACACTGCTTTCTGAAATGGGTACCTAACCCCCATGGTCTTTTTTTGCCAGTGTTCATGGGGGCTTTTTTCTTGACTCTTCTGAGAGCTGGAAAGGAAATTAAAGACATAATTATTGTCAAAGCCTACATCTTGAGCTTGGTGCAGAATTGGCAGCGCAGTCACCCATGTGGTAGTGGTTTTGAAAGCATGTGGGGTGGCCCTCCCAGGTTTGTCCCCTAGTCATCAGATCCCACAGATAAAGGCTAAGTTTAAGTTGAGAGACGACAGGTCCTTTGAGCTGGGGCCACAGCTACTGAGTGGGCATCCGCCATGTTCACCAGCACATGGTTTTGTGGCTCTCCTTGAAGTCTTCAACTGAAGGATCTGGCTGGGGCAGTGGGGAGACTTGTCAGCCTGCTTGAGGAGTCTCCACAGACAGTCAAGTCCCTAGTTCCACCAACAGACCACCCCGCTTTACCAGTAAGAAGATTTTCACACAACTCTTCACTTACTGTGGGGATTGAAGTCATTCCCAGAAGCAAAGGTATGGACTGAAGGGCAAAAGAGAAAATAGTTAACCCATAGCTTGTCCAGAGGTGGGCCTTGCCTGACCCAGGGCCATGAGGTGGGCCTTGCCTGACCCAGGGGCATGAGGAGGTCCTTGCTTGACCCAGGGCCATGAGGAAGGTCTTGCCTGATACAGGGCCATGAGGAAGGTCTTGCTTGACCCAGGGGCATGAGAAGGACCTTACCTAGCCCAGGAACATACAGAGGGCCTTACCTGACCCAAGGGCATGGGGGTGGGGGTTTCCCTAACCCAGGGACATAAGGAGGACCTTGTCTGACCCAGGGCCTAAGGAGGGTATTGCCAGACCCAGAGACATGAGGAAGGTCTTGCTTGACTCAGGGGCATGAAGAGAGTCTCACCTGACCCAGGGGCCTAAGGGGGACCTTGCCTGACACAGGGACACGATGAGGGCCTTGCCTGACACAGAGACATAAGGAGGGCCTTACCTGACCCAAGGGCATGAGGGGAGTCTTGCCTGACACAGGAACATAAAAAGGGCCTTGCCTGATTCAGGGGCCTAAAGCTGGAAACCTTGCCTCCATGCTGTAGGGCTCCACATTCCTTAATGAATTGGAACCTGCAGATGTTACAAAGAATGCCTTCACAACTGTGTGGAAGGACCGGGTAACCCTGCACTGACATCTGCGTACCTACCCTTCTCTGACAGAAAGGAACTTTGCAAATATACTCATGGCTTCCCCCTCATCAGAGAAGTTTCTTTCTGGAGTAGATCACAATTAACACGGAGACCCATAACTGGTCAGGTGTAGGGAATAAGAGACGACAGAAAGCTCCTCCCCAAACAGCAGGTCTGCCTTATACTGGTCCTCCTCTCAAGACTCAGGGGCCAGTGTGGAAGAGATGGGAGAGAATGTCAGAGCCGGAGGCTGTGTATGATTTCAAGCAAACTGTGTTTTCCCAGACACACCAGGGCAGCTGGACATATGACCTCATGGTGGTTGTGACACCATGCACAGGTCAGGCTGAATCTCAGCACAGAGAGATGAGATAGGCATGAAGCCCCACCCCTAGCTAAGGAGCTATTGGCAATTGGCTAGAAAAGGGAGAGTCGGTTGTCTTTAAGGGTGTGACTTCTGGCGGGTCAGTCCAATAGAAGGTCATGCATGCACCCAGGAGAATATAGGCAGCACAAACTGGATTGATGGGTTATTTTTTTAAAAAGACACAGAGATGGGAATGTGTGGAAAGGCGTGAACCTTGGGGCGGGGGTTGGGAGAGGAGGTAGATATGATCAAAGTCATTGTATAAAATCCTCAAAGGACTAATAAAAGTGAGAGGGGGGAAAAAGAAGCAGCATTGTTTGGTTTTCTCACCTGAATGACTTAACAAATTCCCACCAGAATGTTTGAGAGCAAGGAAAGAATTCAGTGTGGAGAGTCATGAGTCACTCCACCAGGACAGACGAACGTCTCACTCTGTGGCTGATCTTTGGACAACTTAGACCCCATACTGGGCGGCAGCAGCATTGGCTGGTATAAGAGTTAACCAACCTGTCAAGCTTGGTCCACAAACTAACAGAGAGCTGAGAGAAATCAACCTCCTCGTCTACCAGCAGCCCAGCCACTGGGACCCCGAGGTCTCTACTTGCTGGTCTTTTGTTCTGAATTTAGCTATTCCCTGTCCCCTCACTAATGCGGTGACCTCTGCAGACAGATCTGGCTCAGATGATCATTACTGACTCTGATTGACCCCCCGGATTTAGTTTGGGCTACATCTTATCTCCAGATCATAGGCTGCCAAGCCTAAGGAGTACATTGCGACAAATCCAAAGGAAGGTCCATCAGCAGAGCTAGCACACGCCATACAGAGCCATGTGCTCCATGCAGCTGAGCCTGTCTTCAACTGTGGTGCAACTGATCTCATGTCCAGTGGCCCTTGCATGCTGAGCAAATGCACCAGAAGAAAGTCAGAACGTGGAAGTCAGACATGAGAAAGGGAAGGGATGGCGTGGTCAAATGAAGACGGGTTAGAAGACTCTACAACCAAGGAGCTTACATAATGAGAAGAGAGAGGTTGGTATCCTACAGGTAGGATAATAGAGCAGTTGCCTAAAATACACAGTGGCAGGGACAACCTCACCATTGTTGAGCTCCTATGATGCTGGAATCTGACTCTTGAGGGGTGGTTTTGAGCCACGTCTCTCAACATGGACAGGGTGTCTAAAAAGCTGTAGTGTGCTCCTGTCTTCTTCCCAAGCCTGTGGCAGACATCACTAGTTGATCCCCTAGCGCCTGGCATCATTCACCCCACTGAGCTTTCAAGTCTGCTCAGCACAGTGTCCTGAGTTTGCAGCCTCAGACCCACATGGATCTCTCTGTCTTTTGTCCCTATTCTAGGCTGTGAGCTGCTGTTCTGCTATTTTTTGTTTTAATAATTCTTTACTCTTTAGCGGCCCGCTACCCAGCTTCCAATTAAACATAAGGAGATTTATCCTTACTTATGAATGCCCAGCTTTATCTTGGCTTGTTTCTAGCCAGCTTTTTAAAAAATTATCCTATCTACCTTTGGTCTTTGGGCTTTTTACCTTTCTGTATTCTATATACCTTTCTTTCTTCTTACTCTGTGGCTGACTGAGTGGCTGGGTGGATGAGTGGCTGACCCCTGGCATCCTCCTCTCCTTCTCCTTTTCTTGTTCCTTCTTTTTCTCTTATTTATCCTTTCTGCTTATCATTTCCACCTATTTTTCTGTCCTGCCTCACTATTGGCCATTCAGCTCTTCATTAGATCAATCAGGTATTTTAGGCAAAGTAGCACAGATTCACAGAGTTAAACAAATGAAACATAAAAGAATACAGCACATCTCTGCATCATTAAACAAATATTCCACAGCATAAACAAATGCAATACACCTCAAGCTCAGAACACCCAGGCTTAGAACTATGGGTACCTCAGAAGAGACACATAGATAGATGGTCATGAACCAGTGGGGCCTCCCTGTGCCTCCCAGTGTTATAAATTCCTCTTCTTGAAGGGTGTGGTCCCAGCTCCATATTGATCCATACCCAGACCCATCTTCCACTACGACAGAAAGAAATGGAGTCCCCATTCAGTAATCAGGTAGTCCCAAAGCAATTCTGGCAGTGGGAATGCTGGCTGGTAAGAACCATACAAACTCTTGTTTTGCTTTCTGTGGAGGGAAGAAAAGAAAGAAAAGAACTCTGTTAGCCACTAGCTTTGTGCGAAGCCCTTGGGCCTCTCACTAGATGCTACGATGGTTCTGCGAGGCATATTAGATGTGCTATATAAGGCCATTGTATATTCTGCAGGTGATATGTACGTCCCCAGTACCATTGACAGTGGCAGTCACTGAGCCACCAACCAGTTTGACCAACACCTAGTTCAAGCATTTCTAATTCCCCCCCTTATCCTTGCAGGCTCTTGGCACTCTAACTGCTCCAGGTACTCCCTGAGGCAGTAGACGCATGTCCAAGACTAGAAATTCTTTGTGATCTGTTATTGAGAGTCTAAACAGCGGGCAGACACAAGTGATCCTACTCTTGATTTGCATAGTGTTGGACTCTTCTGTCCTGTCCCGTTCCCCAGCTATATACTAGCAATCTGCCAACAGCCTTCCTTTGAAGCCTATCATACTCTCAACATCAAAGCTTTTCCAACACCCAAGTGACAGGAGGCTCTCAAAGTGGTGACCCTGAGTGAGTACGCTGTGCATGGGATAATTTGCACACTTCTAAGAATGCCCCAAACTTCATGTGCATTTGTGTTAAGGTAGCGGGCATGAGATTGCTCTACCCTCACATGCTGTGTTGGATAGCCATCAGGGCAGAGGAGGCATGGGGAATGGAGGCTGGCTCACTTTGGGGTTTATTTACGTTCGTCCCCCCACAATGCCTTGCAGTGGCCTCCTGTGCCTGCGCCTCTGCGTCCAAACACACCTGAGAGTTTCAATGCTGCAAAATATAGTCATCTTTTCAGGGCTGTCCTTCAAGTTCCCTTTGATTTCCCTGGATTCTCTATATAAACAAAATGACAAACACCAGGTAATCTGCATTGTACCTTTGGCTGCATTATCTCACTTAACCATTGCAAGAGCCCATTTGTATGTTTTTAATTTAAATAATTTATTTAATATGTTTAGGGGTTTACGTGTGTGTGTGTGTGTGTGTGTGTGTGTGTGTGTAGCAGGTGTGACTGGTATCCATGGAGGCCGGAAGATGGTGTCAGATCTCCCAGAACTGGAGTTACCAATGTTTGTGAGCTGCCAAATGGAGGCTGGGATTCAAACCTGGGTCCCCTGGAAGAACATCCAGTGCTCTTAATCACAGAACCATCTCTCCAGTCCCCTGAGGAGCACATTTTAAGATGCATCGTCTGAGGCTGGATGAGGTTCACCTCACAGGCCTGGAGCCATAGTGAGCCAAGCGGAAACAGGACTTGACAGCAGCTGACGCCAGGGCTTCTCCACTCTAAGCCAGCCTCCTTTCCTATGCTGATGGCGTGCGCTGCAATGAAGCGATATGCAATAATTGTGCCTGTGCATATTGGACTTCATTGTTCCAAAACCAAAAGGTTGCTTTACACTTCGGAGACCATTTCCTTTCTGGGAAATGAGGGGTAGCGATCTTTCCATTCGGCAGGGTGTAAACCCAGTCAGTCAGACAGAATCACATCATTTTCCTTAAGCTTGGCCAGGAAGGCAACCTCATACAGAGAGAGTGGGTGGGGGGTAGAGGGGGAGAGCAGGAGGGATAGAGGGCCCAGGGCCCCTTCTTTGCCTCCTTCCTCCCCAGTACCCGTTATCTCTCCCCTGCTGTTTTCATAGCTTGGCCTGGTTGGGACTTTCCCAGATGTTCCTAATTTTGGTGATTTTCCGTTGCTCGTGAGCCCTTCAGTACTGTAAATATTTGACTTCAATCTTTTCCAAACTCACAGAACTTTATGGCGGTCACTTCAAACACTGATGTAGAATTGTCTCCGCTCCTTAAGGTTGTTCTGTGAATTAAGAGCCTGATAGTTGATATCTTGCTGGCTCCACAGGCCATTCCCCCACTTGAGACTTTGAAGTCTAAAGGAACTCAGAACTATTCATGCCCTTACACACATACAGAGTGTCCTTAAGAGCAGATAGGGGTGCCTCTTGGGCATAGATTCTTTCCAGCTATCAATAATTATTTCTCTATTTGGAGATCTTCAGTTCCTGTTTTTAATTAATTTGTTTGATGTGGGGTGTGTGTGTGTGTGTGTGTGTGTGTGTGTGTGTGTGTGTGTGTTCAGGAGTATGCATTCCATGGCATGTGTGATGTCTAATGACAACTCCCAAGAATCCATTTTCCCTAACAACCTGTGGGATCCAGGGGTCCAGATCACGTCATCAGGTCTAGCAGCATCACCTCTGTCCACTGAGCCATTCCACCCTCCTGTATTCCACTGTTAAAAGCTCTATGCCCATTGTCTTCAGGGGCACTACATCAACGAGGCAGAGTTGAGAGTACTTGGCATACACTTCTTGCACATGTGAAACCCTGTAGATGCTCCCTCCTGCCGGCTGCTTCTGCCCCGCCCTTCCCATGGCCTCCCCACTCAGGCCTTCCCCGGAAAGCCTCTCCTCACCCAGCTCTGCCTCCCTTTGGGTCACTTTAAATTAATATGTACTAATAACCTTGTTAATGCTCATACATCATGTTAACAAGCAATGAGTTTTGTATCATCTCAGGATATATTCATACGCTGAATGTGATATTGAAAAATTATATTCAGTTGAAGTCACATAGAGTTTTAAATTTTATGAGCTTGGAGCTATATATGATAACTAATTTTTGTTTAAAATTAGATTTCTTTATTTCATTTTATCTGTATGAGTGTTTTGCCTGCATGTATGTCTGTGCACCACATGCCACATGCCTGGTCCCCACAAGGTTGTGGGCTGCCACACAGGAGCTGGGACACAAGGTTGTGGGCTGCCACACAGGAGCTGGGAACCAAACCTGAGCCCTCTGCAAGAGCAGCAAGTGCTCTTGGCCTCCGAGCCATCTCTCGCGGACAACTAAAGACTATCCTTGTTTCTTCTAAGAAGGCAATTGTTTTGGTTTGACTGTAACATTTTATAATAATAATAAAAAAACACTCTCAAAGGCAGAGTACTGTTATTTAAATCATCGGCAGATGTAGCGAGTCCTAGCGGCATCTGGTCCATCTTGCCAGTGGGGGAATTTTGTTGATAATGTACTGTCTAACTTTTTTCCACAGCGAGATGTTGATAACACATTAAAAGTGGCTCGCATAATGGATTTTTAACAACTTCCTTGGGAAATATTTCTGTGTTGCCATAAGATTTTTTTTTTTTTGCTCTGAAGCCCTTCCTGCCATCCACCCTAAATTTCCCTGTGACACGTTTGACGGCTCAATAAAGTGTTGGTTTCCTGGGGAGCCATGTGTCTTCAGCAAGGGACCCAGAGAAGGGGTTGTGACATCTTGAAACCAGAAAGGATCCAATGAGTAGGAACCCTGACTGGCTATAGATCGATTCAAAAGAAGTCGTGTTTGTTTATTGAGTGTGAAATATTCTTGACACATTTAAAATGGAAAATGACTCATTTTGTATGAAACTTTGTTGAAAATAAACAAATTTAAAAGATCTTTTTAAAAAAAAAAATTCTTACGTGTGCTTGTGTTGGGGGAATGGAGTTCGTGACTGTGAGATGGCCCTGCAGGCCAGAACCAGGCATTGGGCGTGGAGCTGGAGCTGCAGGCCATTGGGAGATACTGTTTGGGACTGGCAACTGAACTCAGGTTCTCTAGAAAACAGCAAGTCCTTAGGCACTGAACCATCTATGCAGTCCAAGTGTGAACATCCCCCCCACAACCTCTTTATTTGTTTTTTATTTTGTTTTTTGCTTTTTGTTTTTTGTTTGTTTGTTGAGAGAGAGAGAGGGTTTCCCTGGCTGTCCTGGAACTCACTCTGTAGACCAGGCTGGCCTTGAACTCAGATATTCACTTGCTCTGCCTCCTGATTAAAAGGTGTGCATGGGATTAAAGGTGTGCATGACCACCACCCAGCTGAACTTTTCCTATGTCTGTCTGTATAGTGTTTCTGTTAAAAATGGTCTTGGTGGCTTATCCAAGTTCTCTGGGCACCAGCCACATGTGGGCAGCATTTTTGAGGAAAGAGCTGCCCCCCAGATGGGCCTTGTCTCTGATTCAGTCCTAAGTCCTGTCTCCTTTCTGCCTGCCCTCTGGTGCCCATACTTTCTTCTGCCTCTACTCCAATCTGTGCCACACCAGTTCTAAAGCTGCTGGCTACCTCTTCTTCCTCCTCCTTCTTCTTCTTCGTCTCCTTCTCCTTCCTCTTCTTCTTCCTCCTCCTCCTCCTCCTCCTCCTCCTCCTCCTCCTCTCCCTCTCCTTCTCCTTC